CCATTTCAAATGACTGAGATTATCTACTCTTCTAGTTGTTGTTCTCCCCACGTGTCCGCGCCCTCAAAAGTCAACAGGTTATGAGCCCTGACATGGCCAACACCGATAGCATGCTCCCCACCAACTCAGCATTGTTTAACATCCCAAAGCTCGCAGAAGATGGAGCAAATTGGATTACCTACAAGGAACGAACATTAACAGCAATTGGTGCGAGAGGGTTAATGTGTTATGCTGACAGCCGTGCAACGAAGGCTGTACCCTACACTATCGACCCCAGCAGTAGGCAGGTTCAAAAACCTGACGGAACGGTGCCCACACAGGCGGAGTTGACGCTCTAGACAAGAGAATCAATGAGTTCCATCAAAAAGACTCATTAGTCAAACAGCAAATATTCAGCACCATAACTGACCGGTTACTCCTCTGCGTACAGAAGCTCGAGCTCCGCTCAAGAATATGGGCCGAAATATGCGACATCCACAAGGGAAAGACTGAGCTGGTACAAATAGACCTGTGATGTCGCCTTCAGGAGACACGATGTGAAGAGAATGGAGATGTGAAAGCTCACTTTAGTGAAATGTTGCACCTCCGCGAGTCCTTGGCAGGCATGGGAGCTGAAATCGATGACCGAGACTTCTATGCTATGATCCTAGGCTCCCTTCCAGAATTGTATTGCCCCCTCCTCTCATTGATCAATGCAGCCACGAAGATCGCATCCCAACCGCTGAGTCCCTATGAGTTGGTTGATATTATCTCCGAAGAGTATGAGCATAGGCTCCTCAATGCGGAGCAACACACCTCAAAGAAGGGAGCAGGTGCTGCCCTTGCAGCTAAAGCAGGCACAGGGAGGTTGCGAAACTCCAACTCCACCTCCGTGAACCAGGATATTACCTGTTTCAACTGCGAACAAAAAAGGCCATTATAAGACCGATCTCTGGAGACCAGGAGGCGGAAAAGAGGGTCAAGGACCCAAACAGAACCAAAAGAGAGGTGGACGCTCACAGCAGAAGCAGACTGCGAATGCTGCTGTCCAAGGTGAAAGGCAGGAAGAATATGCTTTTGTTACGTCAGATATGGCTGCAGTAGCTAAGGACCTCGACGTACCTCTTGAGAAGAGAGGTGCAATCATGGATTTGGGCGCAACATCTCATTTTTGCCCAGACCAAAGCAAGTTTGCCAATTTCAAGTCCATCGAACCGCAGGATATCCACACTGCGGATGGTTCCACCCTCAGTGCGATAGGAAAAGGAGACGTGAAGATAGACTTACCACTGGGAGACAAGTGCACTACTGTGACCTTGAAGGACACATTGTATGCCCCCAGGATGGCCTTCACCTTGATCTCCACCAACCGCATCACTGCCGCCGGACTTGATGTCCATTTCGAGCACAAAATGTGCAAGGTCCTCTCTGCTGCTCCAGAACGAGTGGTGATTGCAGAGATACCTCAAGTCGAGGGCCTCTATGCAGTCGTCAATGCAAAGTGTCACCATGCACACCTAGCTAAGCAGAAGCTCACCATAAATGACCTCCACAGAGCACTGGGACATATTTCCCACTCTGCCATCAAACATGCCATAGACGCTAGCCTCGTTTGAGGCATCGAGCTGGATGGAACCTCCTCAGCCGAGTTCTGCAAAGGCTGTGCGAAGGCGAAGTCAGTATGCCTACCGTTTTCCAAGGAGTCCAAGTGTCGAGCCAAGACTTACGGCGAGGTCGTGCACACTGATCTGTGGGGACCTACACAGACAGTTAGCCTGGCAGGGTCAAGTTATTATATGAGTTTCACCGACGACTTCTCGCAGGAAACTACAGTGTCCTACCCAAAAGCAAGGCATTGGAGGCTTACTGGCAGTATGAAGCGAGGCTTGACACCCAGCATGGCGTCCACATAAAGACCTTGCGCTCAGACAGAGGAGGTGAGTACCTTAGCGCAGAGTTTGATGCGCACCTGAAGGAGAGAGGTGTCAGATGGGAGTTAACTGTTCACGGCTCCCCGCAGCAGAATGGGGTAGCCAAGAGGTTGAATCGTACCTTGGTGGGCAACGCACGTGCGATGCTACTTGCCAGAGACCTACCTAAGTTCCTGTGGGCTGAAGCCATCAATTACACAGTATGGTTGAAAAATCGCTTACCTTCCTGTGCAATCCCAGGTCATACGCCCTTCGACCTCCTACACAACGTGACCCCGGACCTCTCTCATGCCCACAAATTCAGTAGCCCAGTCTTGGTGCACCAGCTTAGTGCTGGTAAACTGGAGGCTTGCACTGAAGATGTGTTATTTGTGGGATTGGATGTGGAGAGTAAAGCTTACCGAGTTTACTGGCCGGCAAAACGTCGGGTGTCCATTGAGTGCAACATGACATTTGTGCCCTCAAACATGACGGTCGATGATGTTGTCCTGAACGAGGGGAACCAGAACGTCCAGACTCAGTTAATGCTCAGGAAACACCACCAAAGAACTCACCAGCAGCTCCTACCAAGCAGCACCATACCCCAGAAACGCCTCCAGCTCCTCGCATAACATGAATTCATCCACTGCCGGGCTATTATGCTGGTCTTCACAATGGGGAGACAGCCACCCTTGCTGCCAAGGGACAAACACACCTAGAGGAAGAGGAGTTAGAAGGAAAGACAAAAGAAGCACTTACCCGATGGCAAGATCTTGCACTTGCGGCAGCAGTAGGTGAACCTATGCTGAGTCAAGCCTTGAGTGGCCCAGACGCCGAAGAATGGCAGGAAGCAGTCAATTATGAAATTAGTCAGCTTGAGAAGCTGGGCATGTGGGAAGTAGTGGACTTACTGTGTGGTGCTAACTTGATTCCCTGCCACTACGTCTTAGCCACTAAATGTGGCCCCAATGGCCAAAAGCTCAAACTTGGAGCTCGTCTTGTAGCCAACGGTCAGTGTCAGCAATATGGCCTCGACTACTTTGAAACTTTCACTCCTACCTCAAATATGGTTAGCATTAGGATGGTTTTCGCCATGGCTGCGCAATGCAATTGGGAAGTTCATCAAGTCAACATCAAGAGTGCTTACCTTTACACCGGAATAAAAGAAGAAATCTATATGAGGGCGCTGTGGGTACAACAATTCTGATGGTGATTCAGAACAATATGTTGGGTCTTGCAGAACCTAGCTGCTATTCGACCCTAAAGGGTTTCTGGACCAGGCTCAAGGCTCAGAGGAGAGGAAATATGATAGAAACTTGCTGAAGACTCAGACTCATACTGGTAACTGGTGAAAAGATAACTTGATTATGTAAGCTACAAAAGTGCACACATAACACTAAGGTAAAAACAGTCTCTACAAGCCTAGCCAGGAATCAGTCCCTATAGCGCCACCAGGATACTTGAAGGAGGGAGATGAAAGGAAGGTGCTGAGGCTGAAGAGGAGTTTGCCAGGGTTGAAGCAGGCTGGCTATGAATGGGCGGAGGAACTTGCAGCAGTATTCCTTAAACTTGGATTCACACATTCTCAGGTTGACCAGGCTATTTATTTCAAGCGTGCAGAAGACGAACATACTGTCATCACCGTCTTTGTCGACGACATGGCCGTCACCTCACATTACCTTCGCCACATTGAATCATTCAAGTCACAGCTCCAGAACCACTTTGAAATTACGGACCTCGGGGAACTTAATTGGCTGCTAGGCCTTAAGGTTCAATTAGACCGTGTGGCACACACCATCACCCTATCCCAGAACACTTATGTCTACACTATCCTCAAACATTTTCATCTTACTGATGCAAAGACCGTGCCGATACCCACGGAGGTTGGCACCATACTCTCTGATGCCCAGTCACCTGCAACCCACTCCCAGACCAAGGACATGTGGGACGTCCCATACCAGAGGGCCATTGGGTCTCTGATGTATGCAGGAACGAGCATGGGTCCCGACATCTCTTTCGCTATAGCGACACTATCCCAGTCCATGAGGAACCCAGGGTGAGAGCATTGGGAGGCAGTAAAGCGCGTCTTGAGATATCTGAAGGGTATGAGCGGATTTGGACTAACCTTGGGGGGAACGGGCGCAGAACTCAAAGTGTACGTCAACACTGATTGGGCCTCGCAGCCACACCAGTACTCTGTTTCCGGCTACATTGTTCTGCTGAACAGTGGCCCTATAGCGTGGAGTGCTCGTAAACAAGCCCTCATCGCCCTGTCCACGGCTGAGGCCGAATACATTGCACTTACCACCGTCGCCCATGAGGTACTTTACCTGCAGCTTCTCCTCAAAGAGTTGTACAGGGAAGAGCCAGTACCTATGCCCATCTACTGTGACAACCAAGCAGCTATTGCCCTTGCCTTGAACGGCAAATTCCAGTCACACACTAAACATATCGACCTCAGATACCACTTCATTCGAGCCCACATTAAAAACAGCACCTTCTCCCTAGTCTATTGTCCTAGTGAGGACAACATTGCAGATGCCCTTACCAAGCCGCTAGCCCGCCTGTGCATGCAGAAGTTGAGGATGATGATGAGCTTGGAGGACTGCGCTCAAGGGGGAGTGTTGGAGTCCGAACATCCAAAGGCCTCAGGACGCAAAGGAACAGGTACAAGCACAGAGTGACATCGGCCAAGCCTCGTCCTGAACGTTGTGTTTCAAAGTAATACTCATTTTTCCTACTCTACCCGTATGATAAAAGTGTCCATGCAGCCGCTCGAGCATCTCAGTCTGTTTCCAATGACTGAGATGTAAGTACTCGTTATTCCACTCAGTATATTCCAAGCTAACAAATACATAGTATCTACTCTTCTAGGTATATATTCAATGTACCCAGAGTCTGTTTCCAATGACTGAGATTATCTACTCTTCTAGTTGTTGTTCTCCCCGCATGTCTGCGCCCTCGAAAGTCAACAGCTACAGCTAAGAAAAAACATGCAGCTGAGAACATGCCTTCTGTAACGCCGTTACCTCGTTCCTTGATATTAGAATCTGATAGGTACACCTTGTTTCGCATTCATTTTGGCTTCATTTCACAAGACTTATTACATAAATGACCAGGCCATGTCTTGTTTCTGTTTGTCCTGAGACCTGCACTGGAGTTCCTGTTCTCTGGCCAGAGGACCTCAGACCTTTTCTGATGCTCTTTCCTTGGGAGCACTACCATAGCGGCCCTGATTCACTCCCTTTCACCGTCGACATCAGTAACTGTGCGACACCTCGTGCTCGATCAAAACTTTGTCTGGGATGCTCGGCTATGCAGGATATTCCATGCGAAGAGTGTGCTGACATCCCCACGCACATTGCATGCATTGCCGAAGTCACAAGGGATCCGAAATCACACACCAACTACAAATTTTTGGGTCTTGCGCATATGCAAGACATTGCCAGGATCTATGCCAATAAACTGAATGAACTCAAGCTGCAGGTGAGTTGCATTTAATTATTGCATGTGTCCTCACTGACTCCATTCAGGGACTCAATGACTTGTTGTAGCACTCGAGCTTGCGCTAGGCTCGTATTCAGCTATTCTCCAATGCATGTCACATGCCCATCTCACACAAATCACTTCCCAATGTCATCCAACACTCACCCGCTCAATCCGATGTTTATCCGCTAAACCTGACACTAGTCCGACGAACCCGATGTTTCCCGCGCATTGGACCCGATATTTTCCCGTGCACTTGTCCTCCCTATGTCTTGTCCTGTTGTATCTATCCCCACTAGGTGCATAGTTACTTGTTTTCACATCACTGACATCGTAGAACGTGTTGTTACATGTCCGCAGTACATCATGTCTTATTACATAGAACATTGGACCTGAAAATCAGCGCTACTACTTTTGCTTATAGCACTCTGAAATTCTACATAGACACTATATATTTCGCATACCTCCTACCTATTTACTTTACCTTTCTACCTCCGAGTAGGAGGAGGTCATCCGATATTTAGTAGTTCTTAGCTGAATTCCACAATATCATCCTTTCTTTATCCGAGACACTCTGAAAACACCTGCCATTCGCTATCCCCGACATTCACTATATTCCTGATGCAAACCCGATGCTAACCCGACGCAACCTGAGGCAAACCTGCTAACCCAAAACCCAAAAACATCGGACCCGATGTTTTTGACATTGGACTCATAATTATACCTTCGGACTTTGTTTCCCATGCTTCGGACTATCTTCCTTTTGTTATAACTGATTATTCTAATACCATACAGCAAACCCCTCAGGTTGAATGCACTTGTCTTGCAAGTATAGCAGACTAGGCTGTGCATGACCACAACACATTTTTATATTGCTGGTTACTTACTTCATGTAGTGCCCAGCAATTGTTGTATCTCTACACCGTGACACACAGATCACCATGTCCCTGTGCATCAACAGATTGCCATTTGACTACATGATACACAGGAAGTGTATGGAATGGGAGGTGAATAGTGGCAGCAAGGTCTTTGAGGCAGTGACAAATGGTGGCTTCATGTGGATGACACAGCTGTGCAACATATCTTGCAAGTGCCTCACAAAAGTACATAGCCCCATACTTCGTAACTAATTTCTGAATTAGGACACCTTTCACACTCAGATGCTTCATTAATGTTTGAACATGGTTGAAAGACAGGTTTAGTGGATGTGGTTGGTGTCAAATGAGATTGCTGTGGAGGTGGTGTAGGTGAGGAATGTAAAGAGATGAAAAGTGGGTGATGTGAGATATACTCAGATGGTCCTCTGTGCACAAGCTAATGTTGGCCCAAGGGAATTGCTACTGAGAAGGTTTCTCTATATATATAGTGGAGGGAAATACTGAACCAGGTGCTTAGTCAAGCCTGGTAAGGTGCGCAACAATGAGTGAAGTGCAGAAAGTGAAAGTGCTATGAAGTGCTACTGAGCGATAAGGTGGAATGGTGTGCGTTGACATGCACCAAACTGGTTCAGTGCATGGACGACTAATGCTCTCCCACGAGCCTGATACCCTAGAAACCATTATGAAACAATTTTCCTTTACTCTATGGTTCAGACTGCAGCTCAGACCAATATTTTCATTTCATTTCTCAAAACAGACTCAGATAGGTTGAATATTTTTATATATTTGATTCTGTAATAAATTTTGCTTAGTCATCCACAACAATGACTAAGCAGACTAATCCCACACATGTCAGGTAACTGTGAAAAATAGTTCTTGCATGAGTTGCCCTGTGGGAACTTTCTTAAAACCCTAAATACATGGCTCACATCATCTCTATGGTCAATAAAGTAACATCAGAACAGAACACCAACAAATCATGAATATTTCTTTTACATAGCATAATCAGCTTGTTACATAACCTTGATCACATGATACTAAGTCATATGACTCTATCAGTCAGGTGACCTATGATCCAAACCAAGTCATAACAAAGCAGCCTCTTGAGTTGACTAAAGACTGATGACACAAATTATAATGCACATGACTCATACAAATAGTTATTGATACAATCTGACTGATCCCATTTCCCTTAGAACATGGGAAATAGTAGCACAGCCACCATGATTTGTCTATATAAGACCCCACTTTTTGACCATAAAATATAAGCCCAGAGGGAACTTTTACCCCACAAAAATAAAATTGAGTGTGAAGTGTGATCAGTGTCAACAACAGTGATAAGAGCTGTTAAGCAACTAACTGAGAGGTCATTGTGAGCAACATCCAGCAACACCTTTAGCTCACTGTGCTCAACAGTGAGCAAACTTTTTTTCTTGATTTTCTGCTGGTGAACCTCTAGTTTTCTTTTTTTCTTTTTTTTTCTTCTTCTCTCTTTCTTTTTCATTTGTTTCTTTCTTTTTCTGTTTTTTTTTTTCTTTCTCTCTTTTCATTTGTCTCTTTTTCTTTCCAGTTCATTCATGTCTTAGTGTTATTCTTCTGAATTTATTCCAGGATCTTCATATTGTCTTTACATTCATCTAGGCAAAGGCTTAGTGGGAAGACTTCAGAAGTTGATAGTGACACTTGACCTCACTCATCTGAGTAGTGATACTGAGCCAGGGTTTTCTTTGTCTGCTAGACTTTAGTTATTGAATAGGAAACTTGGTACTGAAAGCCAAGGACATCCATTCCTGATTCTGTTTAATACTCATTGTGAGTTCCTTGGCAGCTGTAAGTCATTGTATGACTTGCAAGTGCGAAGGGGTGTGGAGACCGCTAAAGAGTGGAAGTGCGCTAATGAGTTAGATAACCATCAGCAAGTGTTATACTGTAGGAAATATAATGAATATGAGCTGATAGATATTGTGATGCTAATGATAATGAGTGAGGAGATGAGACTTCGAGACCGGATCTGATTTCCTGGCATTAGGGACTGTACATGGGCTACTTATACTGTAAGATAGTAAGGGTCCTCAGTTGTCATTGGGCCAAATGGAATGCAAAAAACGGAGGTAGAAAGGAGTGACATCATGTTTGACAGCATAGGGTCTGAATGACGAGAAAGATGATATGGAAATGAGTGAGTGGTTGGATGAATGAGTATCTTGTAGACAGCATAATGAGAGACATATAGAATTATTTGACAAGTGCTGGAGTTGTAGGCTGCGAATAGGATGCAAATGATGAGAATAGGATGTCAAACATTATGTGGGTCGGTAGCAATGGAGGATAGCTGTAAAATAAAGTTGGGACTGTGCTGCTTGCTGATGCTGGTTAGGTTGTGGTTTCAGTGAGTGTTGTTTCGGCAACTTCCGGTGTCAAACGATTAGTAATCCCTATACAGCAGATTCAATAGTGAGCTAAGAGTTCTACTGAGCATTGATTAGTTCTGACCTTTGATTCTACCTGTTTGTGCTAAGGGGGTGATTGTTATAACTTTGCATGACTTTCTGTAGTAAGTTTATTACAAAAAACTTTGATACTGAAGGAAGGGTCTCTCTTATCATTCTATTTCTTTTTTTATCAGCACCATACTGTTGGGCTGACTACATTCTGTTTACTTTCTATTGCATCTATACTGTTGGATTGACTGGTGTTGTTACTGACCTCACAGAAGTACTTTTGTCTGAACATAGCTTGGGGAAGTGTAATCAGCCACCCACGAATAACCACATTATCAATCATTGGTATTTGTCTGAATCACTGACCATGGAGATATTTGATTTTGTAGGTGTTTATCTATAGATCATCTATGCAAGAAGACAGTGTGTGGGTGGTGGAGCGCAGCAACTCTAAATGTGTCAGAAGACAGATAGGAATATGTCCTGATAAGAGTATGAGAGTTGGCGCTTGTATGCATTCAGGCACTCAGTGTTGGTCAGCGGTCATAACAGAGATTCTGACTTAGAATCCAACAATGTGTGAGAAGATGGTGGTTCCTTGTTAAGAGAGAAGAACATACATGAAAAGTATCTAAGTACCACTAAGCGCTGCCAAGCGCTGAGGCAAACCAGGAAGTGAAGCGAGTATGTGATGATATGTAATATAAGGGTCCATGATACGAGATACTGGGATGTAGGCACAAGTGCCGGAGATACTGTCAGAATGCATGAGAATAAGATAGGAATATACACTGACGAACCAAACGGACATAGAATGGATGGGCAGAGGACAAGCAATGGAACCAAGGATGCATGCACCAATGTGTATCCAAAGTGCTTGTGCATACAAGCAGCCAATGAAGCATCAAGTGCATGGAAAGAGATATACATCACACTGTTTGGGAGGTGATTAGAGTTTCGGAGGATTAGACCTCTACAAGGCCACAGAGATGTCAGTTCTCTATAGCACCACATGACATATCTCTCATGTCAAATGATCCTCTCTTTGTGTTTGAGCCACTGAGTCATTTGGACAAACTCATCTTTGTGGTTTGTTGTGCAATACACATCTTTGGCCAAATCAATGTGGAGGCGCTCAGTATATTCTGTATTATAATTGTCAGTTGTGCCAAAATTCTGGATCATTGACATATAGTGCCAGGCTGTATGGAGCTTTGGGAGATTGAAATTGTTTTAGATTCCAAGGTTGACAAAGATCTGCTTGTTGTCATGAAAAAGATCGAGAGCTTCCACGAGAAGAGTCAACATTTTGGAACTATGGCAAGGATATTGTGTGAGGTATAAGAAGTCAAGTAAATCTCTAATGGCTTGTATGAGACAGCTCAATGCAAGTTGGTGAAGGAGTTGGATGTCAATGATGATGCCAAGTAGAAAACAGCATATCTGACTATGCTCTGTACCACTAATTCATGAGAGGCTAGTGATGCCTTTCATAAATAGACAAATATGGTGATTTGGGGGGAGCCTCCAACATCTGGCATCTATTTTGGCTGCTTCAAATGCCTCAGCCAGCCAACTGAGGAGATGCTTGATTAGACTCTGATATAATTGGTGGAGTACATCTGGTGTGACAGCTTGGAAGATGTTAGTATAGAGTAGGAGCTCCCAGAACAGATGTATAATGGGCTTAATTCCAGCTTCACAGCATGCACACACAAATTCAATATCTCCATGGTTAATTGCAGCCAATGCATCGAGGACGATATCAAGGTTGCGCATCCCAAAAGGTGTGGCATTGCTTCCAAGTTCATCTAGTGGTATGTCACATTTGGGATATTCCATGGCTTTGACTCCTGTAGCCAAGACTTGCTTGGGGTAGTCACCAATGAAACAAGAAAATAAGGGATGACTGCGATGTAGGATACCATCACCACTTTTCATAACAATACCATCTAAGCCAGCTTCCTCCAGTGGTGCTAAGATACAGCATCATGAAGCCTTATTGGTGATGTGCTCGAGATGGGTGGTAGGAAGATAAGCGAGAAGAATATGGGCACAATGAGAGGGCTTTTGGCGAAATTCCCTAGGAATATTGCGGATAGTAAGGTAGACTGGGTAAGCTGTTTTATTTTGGAACATTGTTACTCGAGTCTTGTCACTCGAAATGATAATTGGAATAATAGTAGCACCCAGTTTATGCTGATCAAGCTTTTTCTATTTAATATGTCAGTTACATTCAATGAGTGGAAGTCTTCAAAATACAAACTTACCTGGGTATCCCACCACCATTTACCAGTATGCATATCATGGAACAATCAGATAGTTTGTTCCTTGTCTGCATAGTGACATTCTGGTGCGAAGACCAGAAAATCTGCGAAATCCATGTCACCATACAGAGCCTTGACACACTTGATAACATCCCTATAGAAAATGTTGAAGGCCTCACCTAAAACAATAATTTGTTCATGCCTGAACTTTGGGTGACCAGGAAGCTGCTTGTCGATGATCTTGTTCAATTTCCTTGAGTTTTTGTAAGAAAGACCAAGCTTTTCATGGACCTGGTGACTAAGATAAACAGATTACCTACAACTCATGTGAGATTAATATACAATCACTCACTCCATTGATACTGAGTAAGTCTGAAAATGTAGTTGAAGTTGGACTGCATAATTTAGCTCATCATGCAACTTCCCAGTCCATCCAAGAGTTGAAGGGGGCATAGGGATTTATAGTGTTGTTGATAATAGTAGCATACACAGTGTTAGCATTGCAGATGTCATCTTGTGGGATGGGCTGCCCTGCTTGAGCATCAGGGTATCACACAATAGTGATTCCATCTTCCTGAAGCATGTGTTGCTCAATCTGCTGACACAACCCACTATCCTGGCTATTCATCTCTGTGCTGTCTTCTTCAGCAGCTCCAAGTTGGTCCTTTAAATTCCTTCCAGTTATGAGGGGTTCCCATTTGGCATCATTGAGGCCAGGTATATCATCCTTGGAATCTGAGCTGTCACTACTTTCACTGCTGCTGGCATACTGTCCTGTGTCATCAGGCCATTAAATTTCATCTTCCTTGTAAGTACCAAAAAATTCTCCTTCAAACTTAGGTCATCTTCTACTTTGGTTTTCATAGGATCATTTGAAGGAGTTGGAGTTAGAGAGTGGACATTTGAGTATGATGCAGCAAGCACAGCCATGCAATGTTGATTTCTGGTTTTAGCTAAATGTTGACTTAAGCTTATGGCCAAAAAAATCATGTAACATCTGGTGCATTGGACCATAGTGATAGCAGGGAATTGTACACCAATACCAGATACTAGCCCATCTGCTGTTGATGTTATTTTTCAGGTTTCACTATTGTATATCAATGATATATTGTCTAACAAGTCTAGAGGTCAGATTTGCACACAATAAGATGGATAGCTCACCACCCTCATCTCCTGTTCAGTTAAGTAGTCCACCTTCGTCCCCTGCTCAAATGAGCAGTCCCACAATTCTGTCTTCACCTGACTCCTCAAGTCCATCTGGAACGACTCTCTGTAATTCAAGCCAAAGATCAGTCTCCTCAGGCTCTTTAAATACAATGAACACAGTGTTAAATCATCAAATTCTTGATTGTCAAGGAAGTATCTTCCATACCCCTCCAATCCAGCTCCATTGGAGCTTCACTATGCAGCTTGGGTGATGAAGTCAAAATTCCAACCGGAATTCTCATTGGAAGAAACACAGAAGGTATGATATATTTACTTCCAGACAATAATTCATTGATATGGTCTGAAAGCTTCAAGAACAATTGGAGAGCGGCCTCTCCCAAATGTCAATTCCAACCTTGTACAAGGCCAAGCTCGCAAGTCAGTTGTGCATCAATGCATGGTGTTGACAATGTGGGAAATTGATAAGGTTGTACCATATGAAGCATTTCTTATTAGCATTTATGACGAAAACAAACAGCGGTTCAAGATGGCAGAAGGAGAATTATCAGGCTTCAGAAAGATTTTTTCACAGCATGGCCAGGCAGAACTTGAAGATGATAAGTGATATCTTCAAGCCATCTACAAGGACGAATACGAGATCCTCCATGTTATTAGTACCCAAACCAACCAAATTGTAAAACTCCTCAATTCATGCATCAAGTAGGCATTTTTAAAGCCTGCTGCAGTATTTCCTCTTCATCCTAGCAGTGGATTTCTCTGCATCAGCACTAGGGAACCCTCTGAACCCTCAGACCCAGACTTGTGTGATGAATCTTATCCAGACAAGTTACCAGAAGACTTAGACCATGGCTCTGAAGATTCATATGAAGGTGCAGGCTCTGAAAAGTCAGCTGGCTGATAATCACCCTTCCAGTGGTATGGAAAATCCTCAATTCAACTCATCACAAGTTGCAGGCTCCCTTTTACCACTCAGATTGCACTTCTCATCCTACATTCAATCTTTTTTTCTCATATGATCATTATTGATATAGAAGCATCTATTGTGTTCTGGTGATTCATGAATTCATATATGCACTTACAATGTACTAGAGATTTGTCAGATGCACCCCTTGTGTTGTTGTGTTATTACACTCCTTATCATCTAATGAGAAGTATTACATTTCCTCATGATATGATTGCAATACAATTGGCATATGGAAGGCTGAACATTCAAACAGTTGTCATAGAATGTTCCAGATATGTCATTGTTTCAACCATTCCATATATATCACTCTTCCTTGTACCTGTGTTGATTACTCAATTGTAATGCCACTTACCTGCCAAGGTCCCCTGATCCTCCTTAATGTAAATATGATCAAATACAATTTGAATTTGATCGCCCAACCAGTACACTCATTGTGAGTCAATTCAGTTTTCACCTCCATTCCCCATCTGTTATTGTACATGAATTACTTGTGCCCTCTCTTACCCATATACTGATATAAACCAATTAGCAGCGCAATAATTAAACATTGGATTGCAATTGTATGACTAGTATCTGGTTCTACTTAAATTTTCATTATGTACAAGGGCCTTTCTACAACATGTTTCTGGTGTGTGATGCCAGCTCTCCCACCATGATCACCATCTTCTTTCTCCCTACTGCCATTGTTTTCTCCAAGCAAAGTATGCAGGCACAGGATAATGACAACTTGGGCAATCCACACTTCCATGACCAACTTCAAGACGGTGTAGGACTTGGAGTCCTTGTGGCCTCATAGAGGTCTATTTTCCAATGCATGTTGAATGCTAATCATTGCCCAAATCATTCCCTATCATTCCCGACTCAATATGCACCAAACCCAAAAACATCAGACATCGGACATCGGGTTTCGCATCGGCCAGTCGGATATTGCATGCACTTGTCCTACCTATGTCCAGTCTCATGGTGCTAGCCCCACTAGGTGCGTAGTTACTTGTTTTCACATCCCTAACATTGTCAACCACATCATTACATGTATTCCCATGGTCCGCAGTACATCATGTCTTATTACATAGGACATTGGATCCGAAATATTGCGCTACTACTTTCACCTATAGGGTTCCAGATTTCTACGTATCTACATAAATATTGGATTCCCCATAGCATCATCATCATCTGAGTAGAGGAGAATTGTCTCCAATGCTTAGGGGTCAAATCCGATATTTTGTAGTTCTTAAGTTGATATTGCAAATATCATCATTCCTTCACCATCCATATCCATCATCATTATTATTGTGCACACCACTTGCTTTCCCAACGCTCACTATCGCGTAGCTATTAGTTTCCGATACCCTAAACCCAAAACCTGATAACCCAAAACCCAAAAAACATCAGACCCAACACTTTTGCATTGGACATTGTAATTATACCTTCGGATATTGTTTCCCACTGTAGAGACTCGCGCCTCTCAATGCGGAATATACAGCCCTATTACCCACATAATTCCCTACACGTTCCAGCTCTTATCCGAAGGGTCAGTCATACGCGCTCTCACGTGTGCACCCTACGTACATGCCTCGTTCGCACGCCTTACACGCACTCATGCCTTTCACACGTGCTCATGCGCCTCCCCTTAGGCCTTCGTACCCTTGTCCGTCCGTCCGTCCGTCCTATGTCCTCGCTGATTTACTGGTGCGTTATTCTTATCCCTTTTACTGAATTGACGTACCTTCGGTCCGATCTCCGCGCTTACATACAGAAAGTCTATCATAGGCTTTAGAATATATTTAGAGTTGATATGGTTACTCGGTTTGGTACCACGCTCAGAAGCGCGTCGCATAACGTAATCTCCCTTCTTAAATAGAGGGAAAGTTCCTTTTAACTGACTGGCTTCCCTTCTCCCTTATCTGAGTATACTGCAAATTGTATAGTGCACCTTAGTACTTGAAATCCGATTATACTTCACTATTCTACCATCGCTCGCGCATCTGCTATACTTGAACACTCTCCCCCATCGCTCAAAAGCACGCTTCCGCATATGCGCATGCCCCTCACATCTTTCGCTCGTGCGCGCCCTTCGCGCGCCTTCGCATCGCTTACTCGCGCCTGTTACCACCCGTCTAGTTGACGAAGACTCCCTCCATTACATTAAAGAGGAACTTCTCTCAGTAGCTGTCCTTTGGGTCGAGTCGTATTCTCGTATCCTGGTCTTACTGTAGAACCCCCGTTAGCTTTAGCATTTCACCTATAGTCAAGATTCCTCACCTTCACCGTGCTCGGATTATTGACCTCACATCACTCACTGACCCCCAAAACTATTCCCAGACCGCAGACCCCTGGGTCAAACGCACTTGTCACCAAGTATAGCAGACTAGGCAGTGCAAGACCACAACATAAAGATATCAGTTTGGAGCCATCTTTGTATAGCCCCACTCTGTGTTGTATACCTACAATGGGTTTTTCTTCTCATCAGGCTATGATGAATTCACAGATGGAATTGCAAGTTTGAACAGTAAGTACCCAAGTTAGTGGTACACCAACTGCTCATTAACAGATCAAGCAGACAATGACATGTCTCCAATTTCAAGATTCCTCCATATCACAGACCCATAATACATAACAACTACAGGTAGTCTACCACAGTCACTAATGGACGAGATAGATGCTGCACCATCATCTAGCTCTAGCATACCAACCCCTGTGCCATCGTCTACCAGCAAACCACTTGACGCTGGCGATAACATCCATCCTTTAATTCCTTACTCAGCCCAACTTGACTCTTTCTACCATCTACCAGTCCCTCAGTTGCCAGCAGAGTCATCATAGCCTGAGCATCCTGAGAGACATAGGCACCCTCAACCCTCCATCACACCATACTTCATACCTGAGCCCAGAGTTTCTTGGCTGTCTTAGCCAACAACCACAATGGCTGCCCTCAATATCATGCAGCCTGCAATGGCCCCTATCATGCAGCCTGTGATGGCTATTCCCACTACTGTGCAGCCAAATATGCCCCCCCTTGTTGTCATTAATGTCAGGCCCAATGTGAAAAAACAGATTGTAGATTGTGCAAAACGAAGAATCACAAGATTTGTCTTGACAATGTCTGCAATGGCTGGTACTGATGATGAGAAGGCAGCACTTGTTTCTCTCACAATTTCAGAGGCGACATCTGTGCTAGGTATGAATGGTATATTTTTTACAAATAAGTTGCCGATTTGGATACTAATTGATATTTCTTGTAGTTACAATCAAAACAACAAGTAATCAACATCAGCAAGTGATGGTCACATGGCACAACACTTTTTGCAAGCTATTGGCCATGGTACAGAGTTGTCTCGCCTTGGGCTACAGTTTCTACCACCCACTAGACTCCAGTCTCATGCCGGTCCAATTTTGTGGCCATGTCATAACTGCATTGATTAACAATATTTGTAACCCATTAGCCTTCATGCATAAGTTTACGGTCGACGCAGTATGTTTCAATTTTATTTTCAAATACATGCTAATTTCAATCTTTTTTTCAGGACAGGAATGTCACCATACTTGATTGGGTTCTCGATGATCCCTTGATATTTCATGTTGCTATCTATTTCATATGGTGCAGTGACCTTAGCATCTCAGAATTTCTCTCCACCTCAACATCACACCAACTCCAACAACTCAACTATGCCATCACCACTATTGGAGCAGTTGCCAAGTTAGTGCTGCAGGAGCAGATTCCTCATCCACCAGTCATCCTGCCATTCACACAACTTGAAGGGAGTGAGACTTCCGACAACATCATGCACCATATTGGTAACCTGGACAGCGTCCAGAAAACTGTGTTTGACTATCAGAAATCTCACATGCTAAACATTGGGGACTTGCAGGTCTTGTCCACCAACATACTAGCTCAACTTGACATGATGATGGCTGAAGTACAGTAGATATCACATAGCATATGTAGCTTGTTTCAAAAATTTCAGCTCAGTTCATACATGATATCACGACATCTATTACTATCAACTAATTAGTACTAAGTTTGTCAGCATTGCATTAAATAGGTATAGTACAAATAGTTGTATCTATTTTCCTAGCTCATGCTCAACTCAGATACTTCATAATACAAAAATGCTCAATTAAAAAGGAACTATGGTGTAAGGATTACCAAGTGGTTGACACCGGAAATAGCTGAAGTAACGCTCACCTCTACCATCACCATCAATCTTTAGCACGGACCTCGTCTTCATCCTATCCTTGTTCCCCATCAATGCCTCATATACTCGACCCTTTATTAATCTCGTCTCCACTATACTGCTCACAGCCGAACCGCTTGGGATCTGTCAAATGTTACACCACTCTCATTAAAAACTGTCAACATAATACCATTTACTCCCTCTCTTACTCGATTTTCATGTTATCTCTCTCGTTTCCGCTACTCTACCCTGTCAGGCGCGACACCACTCCCTTCAGCGTCTGTCTTTGCATAATTGTTTCGGCTTAGCTACACCGAGGACCCTTAGCATTTCACGATATAAAATAGCCCATGTACACTCCTTGATGCAGGCAATTACATCCAGTCTCAAAGTTTCATTCTCGCATTCACTAATATCGCTATCACTATCATCTAAATGTCTCAAAATCTTTACATTCCCTATAAGTCTAACTGCCGCTGATAGCTATCTAATTCTTTAGCGCCCAGCGGTCTCCACACCCCATCACACTCGCAAGTCATACGCCGACTTACATATTGGAGCCCACCGCGAGGGGTGTGTTCCAAATCTCTTGACCTTTTCAAGCGCATTCCACCCTTGCACCATCCATCCTGGCTCCTACTAGGAAAAACCACGCTGCCATCCGCCCACCCGTCTTTCAACCTGACCCATCAGAACCAGTAACACCACTGAATCCCCTCCCTCATAACACCTGCTCCAGAATCGACTCAGACGACAACGAGAACCCCTTTGCGCCGGCAGACTCAACCCTGTTCAACCGTGACATTACAGCAGTGCCCGCTCAACAACCCTCATTTAATTTCCATCAACCCCAACCCTTTCTTCTTAGACCCGCCATCTTCACCAATACTCAAGCTCAAGCCACCATGCAACCGACCACTAACATGTCTCATACGCATCAAGGCATAGGCACAATGCCCAGTCCTAACTCCAGCAAAGCTCCGCTCTTCAATGGCGAGACATCAGAACTGCTGGAGTTCTTCAAGTTACTTGAAGATCTCACTTCTACGTACAGTCTAAAAAGCGCTGACAAATGTAAATGTCTAGTGCGATATGTCAATCTTTCAATGAAGCATTTTTGGATAACGCTCACCAGTTACAAGAGTCACAATTATGCAACCTTCAAGCAAAGCATCCTCGACCAGTATTCTGGCGCTAGCAAGGGGCAGCGTTATACCGTTCGAGAGCTCAAGTGCATCATTGTCAATCAAATTGATAGCGACATCAACATGGAGAAAGAGTTGATTCAGTACTATAGTCAATTTCGTGCCGTTGCTGTCTGGCTTGTCAACAACACCAAGATCTCAGCCCACGACTGAGACAAGTACTTCTGGCAGGGGTTACCTATCCGCGCTCGTCGTCAAATCCTGCAACGACTTGAGCTCAAGGATTCAAACTTCAGCCGCGACGAGCCAACAAACTTCGAGAAGGTTGTGGAGGTGGGTCGTCATGTTTTCTCTGATGAAGCCTTTGATGCTGAGTTTAATGATCCCATCACTCTGTGCATCCAGTCTATTAGAGATCACGATTGTCGCACCAATACTGCTCCCACCAGTAATCGATGAGCTCAAGATCGTCCAGCATACAATTCTGATGACTCAGATGAGCCTCATGAAGCTCCTCGAGAAGTACGAATGAAGACGGTGCACTTTACACCACCTCAAGTGTCCGAGCAAGCTCCGCAAAAGTCTACCATGGATGAAGTTGACATGCTTGCTCGACAAATGCACAGTCTTGATATTGGTGACACACATTACTCAGTGTGTTATACACGACTTATCTGCCTCACTCCCACTGCTGCAAATGCTTGGGCTGCACCCTGCGCTCGTCAACTCTGCAACAACGTGTCCGCAACCACTGCAGTACCTGCCAGTACTCCACGTTCCCCAATACAGTGTGCATTTTGCGGACAATCCCATTATTTTCGTACTTGCCCCACAGCAGCAGAATATCTTCGCACAGGACGCATCATCCATGAAGATCTCTTCCTTCTCAATCCAGACAGATCACGCATCCAACGACAAGGTCTTGAAAATTTGCAGGAAGCTGTGGACAGACACACCAAGATCATCACTTCATCTGCTCCGTCCTCTAATCCTCCTCTTTTGACCATACCTTCCAGCGCCTTTATATCTGAAAGCTACTTCCTTCAATGTATCCAAGTTGCGGAGAACCATGCCACGGTCACAATGGTCGAAGATGATGACTCAGGTGCAGATGCTCTTGCCATCACTCGTTCGAAGGCGAAAAAACGCGGTGCTTGATAATGCAGATGCAGGACTGTCCCAGAAGAAGCTTAAGGAAGCCACCAGTACCTCATCTGATACCCGTGTACAAAGTCAAACTCACTCCATTGAAGTTCTCATTCCCAAAGCTCCCCCAAAGAAAACTCCAGCATATGTTATGAGTCCAAAGCAGCCACTCCCAGACGCAGCCTCCTGCATTTATCAAAACATGCTTAGCACCATCATTCCAAATATCACGGTTGCTGACCTTCTTGCAGTAAGCCCAGATCTTTGACGAGAAGCTGTAGAGCACTGCCGCATGCACCGAGTATCTACTCCTTCATCTGCTACCACCCTTACCACTGCTGCATCTACTCCACCACCACAAATTGAGCACGCCACGCCTCTTCGTGAGCTCAAAAGTCATGCTTAATGGTGTTCACATGGAGATGGCACTGTTGGATGAAGGTTCAGAGCTTGTTGTTATTTGAGAAGATGTTTGGAGGAAGACTCAAGCCCCGATCAATAAGAATATTCACATGCACATGCAGACTGCGAATGGAGGTTCCCAGGACATGTCTGGATGCCTTGAGATGCTCGAAATCAACGTTGATGGTATCAAAATGTGGGCCCATGCCTATGTTATTGCTGATGCTCCATATTGTTTGCTCTTAGGATGTCCGTGGCAGCGGCTTGTTTGATTGTCAAAGTCAGAAACTGCAGACATGGTCTATGTCACCATCCATGACCCTACAGACATCATGCGAGTTCGAACTTGTGCTACCCTTTCCCCGTCCTCCACCTTCCTTAACTTCAGCTATGCTCTCTGCAGCTGCCTTCAGTAACTCATTATTGGCCGAAATTCCACCTCCTGCAGTTGCGCACATTACAGCCACTTTTGCAGAGTGTTTGCTGAAGGAATCATTCGACCTTGATCCTGTACGACGAGTCCTTGCCCTATAAGAAGATCGCCAATCGAGTAAAGCCTGTCGCAACCACCATGCCAGCCCATGCTCGCATTATCCGTCGTTTCCTGAAGACTCCAGAGTTCACACAGGCCACTCGACTCACGGGCAGAATGATGGATGACCTCGGAGTCCTTCGAAAACTTGTTT